CCCGTCTCTACTAAAAATAGAAAGAAATGGGCTGGACAACTAAAAATATACAGAAAAAAGATTAGTCTGGCATGGTGGCGCATGCCTGTAGTCCCAGCTACTCAGGAGGCTGAGGCAGTAGGATCACTTGAGCCCAGGAGTATGAGGTTGCTGTGAGCTAGGCTAACACCACGGCACTCTAGCCCGGGCAACAGAGCGAGACTCTGTCTCGAAAAAAATAAAATAAAATAGGCAACTATAAAATGTTAGAGTTTTTCCTCCCTTTGTCTTCTTGACATAAAGAATACCCCATACATATTCTTTATTGAAGCCTAAAAATTAATGTGCAACACAAATGCATAGCTTTAGAGTTTCACTAGAGGTTAGAGATAAGGGACACACAATCAGCAGCCAAACAAGTCTAATGCTATGGTCTTCTGACACCGAGTCAAGTGTTCCCTAAACTGCATTTCTCTGTTTTTCAACACATCTGTCCTCCCCCATATGATCATACTAGATCGGCCATTATTACAGGTACCAATAGTTCTGACATTATTAATTGGTGATTACTGTTGCCATCACTGTAATTCCTTTTCTGTAGTTAAGCTAAGCCCAGAGCCCTGGACAATGTGCATTCCTGCTTTCTTGCCTGCTCCTACCTGGGAAGAAAGGCTCAAGAAAGACCAACCTGGTTCCCAACTAGATAAAAGTCCACAATTTGAACAATCGAAAATCTTATGCTAAGGAAAGTGGATCTAAAATAAGTCTGCAAAAGCCTAAATATTCTGTATGTTGATCATCTGTATTTTATTACATAGGACAAACCAAGCCAAATACAATTAAACAAAAAGTTCTCTATAATTCTAAATGTCGCATGGATAATTGAAGCAACAAAATGGTAATAAAAGAAACTATAGGCCGGGCGCGGTGGCTCACGCCTATAATCCTAGCTCTCTGGGAGGCCGAGGCGGGCGGATTGTTTGAGCTCAGGAGTTGGAAACCAGCCTGAGCAAGAGCGAGACCCC